ACAGACCACACTGACCCTTCTGCTTTGACCTCATTCTAGCCAGGAGTGTCAAAAGTTATACTCGATAGGCTTTGGAGGAACTGGGTAGGAGCCAGGGCCCAGTACCCAAGCATAATTAGGTGGTGAGTGGGCCTTTGCTCTGGAAAAGGGCCTATGGAGTGACTTCTTCCATACAAGTAGAGTGCAGAGTGCTGACTGCTTGGTTGCCTAAGGCCACTGCTTCTCTGCCCAAATTGTTACAGTTATATGGAGCTGAGAGGCCTAACAAGGCTATCATTCTTAACATTGTATAACTGTAACATTCAATATGACACTTACGTAACCCATAATCCTCATTTTGGGTAATTCTCGATCATTTAGTTTATTCTTCATATCAAGTCCATGCTGCACTGCAACTGCCCCAGTACAAGAGGGCTGACTCGCCAAACTTGGGGAATCTAGTAATCACATGATCAAGTCCAGGGCTCTGTTACATGACATATTTCATCCTGAGTCCAGATGGCCATGGATTGGTTCTTTTGTGAGTCCTATCTCTTCAGACCTGCCAGGATACGTCACCTGCAATGTTTGGGGCTCTTAGTTCTCTCTCTCTTTTTTTTTTCCTGCAGATGCACAGAAATTCAAAACAAAATTTGAAGAATGCAGAAAAGAGATTGAAGAGAGAGAAAAGAAAGGTGATGTGGCACCTTTGGTGGGGAACTTTCTTGCAGACTCACTCTGTACCCGGCTGCAGCCCCAGGCGGGTGCTTTTTTCGTCTGCTATAGAACCATTCTGGGCGCTGTGACCACCTTGACCTCTGTCAAGGGTGATATAGTTGCCTGGGATACAGGATGCTTTCTGGGGAGTGAACCTGCAGTTGGAGCCCGAAGTGTGTGCTAATTGGTCTTGTGGTTAAGTCATGCGGTCTTAACTAGTACACCCCAGATTTTGAAGGGGCCTTTGAAGGTCCTTGTGGTCACTTGCTAGCAAGTGACCTGGCATACTGAACAACCTTACTAATTGAGGCCTGGGTGTAAGCACATGTACCTGGGTGACCCTGGAGGTGACCTGTCCTGTGGAGGTCATTGGGCTACTAGGGTAGGGGGTGGGGTCATTGCTGCAGTGTGACTAAAGAGGCCAAGTTCTTGTTCTTACTGAGTCCCTGGTATTCATACAGGATTGGGCAGAAATGATAATGCTGAGAAAGTGGCAGAAAAGCTGGAAGCTCTTTCTGTGAAGGAAGGGAGCAAGGAGTCGGAAGATGAGGACACCAAGGAGAAAGCTGAGGAAAAGCAATAAGTTGTCTTCCCTTGTTTTCTTCCCCTTTCTTTCTTTTCCCTCCTTTTTTAAAAAAAAATTTTGCCTTGCCCCTCTTTGGTTTGTTTTTATTCTGTTTTGTTTTTACAAGGGACTTTATATAAAGAACTGAATTCCAACATTCAAGTTGTTTTTCAAGTTTTTGCCCTCTTAAAGATGACTACAGAAAATCCATTCCCTTAGTTCATGGAAATGTACTGTGCTAATTTCCTTTTCCATAGTGGAAACATTTATAGTCATCAAAATTAGTGAATAAACAACACATTTTAAACCTGCATGGAGGGCAGGTCCGTGTGTGTGCTGACCCTGTCTGAGGAACAGTGTGGATTTCTGCTGACTGCAGCGGTGTTACTAGTTCAGTACCTTGTGCGTGGGTATGTGGTGGGTTGGTGCTCCAGGTTAAACCTTGCCATTACATTTGGTATGCAGCTTTGGGGTTCTGCGTACTCTCCTGTTATGAACTTTGGTCTCCTGTTGACACCCCCAGCCATGGTGTCTAGACTGGGGGTGTGAGGTCTGAGGGTTGGCAGGGAGTGCTAAGTGCTCTACCTTCTTCTGGATGCTTAACACTGGTACTGCTTTGTCCTGCAGGAGTACACAGGCTTGTTTGTTTCCTTTTTTTTTGGTCTTCAAGGGAAAGAAAGGTAGACTACTAATGGCTGAGGCCTCCAGCCCCAATAGAAGAAAAGGGAAAAGGACAGCCCTGTAATAAGTACGTCCAGTGTGGTCATTTGCACAGGCTGGCTTGATACCCTTCATGGAATACCTTCCCAGCATGAGTTGCTTCTCCCAGCATCTTCATATGGGTGTAGAGACCTACAATAGCTTTAAGTAAAGGGATGTTTTTAAGAATAAAGATGGGTTAATATCACTTGGGGGTTTTCTTGTAAGATGAATTTCTGTAGACTTTGTCCCACGAGGGAGAGAGGAGCTAAAAACATCAGCAGGCTTCTAAAATACGTGGTCCTGCCCTGCTCTCCAGCAGGGGAGGAACAAGTTAAGACTGGACCCTGGAGTGGACATGCTCTCTTGTTTGCTAGTAACACTTTTACAGTGTGTTCCAGGTCTTTAGTAGGCCCTCTGTTCACCTAGTGGACTTCTGACCACTTTAAACATTGTATCCTTGACTTTTGATAGGTGCACCTCCAAAGAAAGCTCTTGTTTTAAAAGCAAAACTTAAGGCTTGGGTCTCCTGTAGTGCTCTTGACAAGTCATCAATGGTACAGCAATCCTTCCCATTCCTGGAGGGATGTATAAGCTTGTACCACAACCACCTGCTAAGTTGGAACTGTGATGCTCTAAATGGTAGAAGTTGCACCCTGTGGTATGTACCAGGTCAGTGGGCATCTGATGTCAGAAGAAAGGCTGTCCTAGGGGCTTGACCCGCTAGTGAAAGATGCTCACAACCATCAGCATAGAGTAATTCATAGCACTGGCTCTAATAAGATAATTCCAGTAGATGTAAAACCCAGACTGATGACTTCCTCTTCAGAAGGAGATGGTTTGAAGGCAGAAATCCCTGACAGCAGGGAAGGCTCCTTGGAATGGTTGGGATGGAGCTTTGCTGTGACCTGGGTATAGGATGTGCTGCAAAAAGAAACCCTAACCACTCCATTGGCATATGGGCACCCTGTGGCAGTGAATTGAGGGACTACTGGTATTGGGGAATAGAGTAGTAAATAAGTCATGGCCTTTCATTATGACCAAGCCTTCCATTGAACAGGGCTGAAATCCAAAAAAGGTTTCTGCAGTGTTTTCCTTTCCTGCTCTGGGCCATGGGCTCATCAGCAACAAGAAGTAACCTTGGCAATGAGGCTGCCTGGCCTCACTTGTCTGACCCACTTAGATCCATTTTGCCCTGTCAGAGGGACATCAAGGAGGCACCATTGCCCTTTCCTTGGAAGATCTGGATTACTCCACAGTTGAACTGTCCTCGCAACCCTACACAGAGCTCAGGCTTGGGATGAGGCTTGAGGGCTTGTTGTACTGGGCCTGACTTATGGTCAAAAGCCTTTTCTGAAGATTGGGCCTATATTAATGCAGTGTGACCAGGTGCTTCTGAGGACGTGGGGTCCTGCTGGGCAGAAGGGCAGGAGCAGGAGAGGCTGGGATGTTGTGCCATTTTTCTGGCTTCACCTTCAGTCTCTGGGGCCTGTTTGTGTCCCCCACCTGAGGGAGGGCTTTAGCAGCTTGTGTAGAAATAAGGTGTCTGTCTACAGCCATACCACCCTGAACGCGCCCGATCTCTCCTGATCTCGGAAGCTAAGCAGGGTCGGGCCTGGTTAGTACTTGGATGGGAGAAATAAGGTGTCTGCTCCAGATGGAATCTGCTTTTTGCTTACATTTGTGCTGAGTCCTCTGTGGCATCAAACAACTCCCAGCCCCTCCTAGAGTGGGTCCCAGAAGGGTGGGGTCTACAACTGGGGTTTTGTGGGAGAAACACATTTCTGCTGTTGGTCACAAGGGCTATGCCTTAACAAAGAGGGGCCTCCAGGTCAAGAAGCTAGGGCCTGTGGTAGTGAGGCCCAAGGAGGAGGTGGCCATTGGACCACACAGGTTCTGGCCTTGGAGGAACTGATGCCTAGGGTCAGGAAGGGCTGCCCTCAAGGGACCCTGTCAGGAGAGGGGGCTAGTGGGTCTAGGTTTTAGAGCGGAGGGCCTTGGGCAAGTTGGAGTATCCAGGGTCAGAAACCTTTGTGGGCCTTTACCTCATAGGCTGTGGAACTTGAGGTGTGGGGCCACCAGAGGCTAGCAGTTACCCAGGCCAGGCTGCAGCACGGCAAGGCTGCTAGTCCACCTTAAGTGGCCTACGCAGCTTCCCAGATGGGTGGGATTTCCTGTAGGAGGTGCCTCCAATGGGCCTATCCCTAGCAGGGGCAGGCTGCCCAGCACATCTCCTGGGACACTCCACCCTTCCCCTAAGGAGTTGAGGGGCTTGCCTGGCATCCTTGATTCTCCCAGCCACACACCCCAAAGTCTGCAGCGTGAGCCAAATCACGGGATGCACCGGCGTCCTCCCTATCCCCTTGCCTTGATTATTGGCTGCTGGTTGTCCTGAGGCCTTGAGCTGGGAGGCGCTAACTACCTGTCCCCGCAGTTTCACAAATCTCACGTTCCTGAATGCCAGGAGTGGAGGTGTGTCCCAGGTGTGAAGGGTGTGGGTCAGAGCCCAGGGACTTAGGAGCGTCTTTCTGCCGAGGTCTTTAGGGAAATGTTCAGGCAAACAGGCCCTGGAAACGACTGGCACTTGCGCCAGGGCCTGCGGCTTTGTAACCGGGGACCTGGCCTTCCCCGCGGTGCCCACCCGGTGGGCAGGACCCATCCGTGTTTCCAGAGTGTGACAAAGAAAAAGCCCACGGTGCCCTGCGGAGCGCCCTGGGACCCACACGCCAGGACGTGCATGGTGCCCCTGTGGGGCGCGGGCGGGGCTGGCGCATGCGTGGTCCACAGGCGGGGAGGGGCGGGGTGCGTGGGTGCGGAGCCCGGGTCCCGGCGCGGCTTGTCGACCAGTCCACCTTAAGGGGCGCTCTGACATCAGCGCGCCGCCGCGGCCCGTGGGGTGGGATTTCCTCCGCAGCCACTGCCGCGGGTCCTGCG